CACCCACACACACACACACATTAAACGTCTGATCCAGTTTGGGACCAGCAAACTGTGCCGTCTTAAAAGAGGCCAGTTTTTAAAAACCCCAAACTGCTCTGCGGTGTTCATCCCGGTAGATCCAACAGTTTTTGGTCTCAGAACTTCAAAATAAGAGCGGCTCAGACTAGTTTTGATTGACAGATGAAAACTTGGGGTCACAAGTAACTGTCAAACAGAGACGGGCTCTAACTTCTGAACACAAGCTCGAGACCCGGGATGAAGCCGTCACCGCTGACGTGGGCCCAGCTGAGACCAGGAGGACCTGCAGGTTTGTGAGTCTGGACCAAAGTTCTGCTAAAAACCAACCCGATCAAAACTCTGCGTCAGAGAGGAAGGAGTGAACTCAGCCTGAGAAAACTACAAATTAAAAGAAAAAGTCTGCAGCACAGCCAGAGGCACCATTAACGAGCTCGTCCAACAACCAGGACCACGAGAATCCAGAACAGGGCTCCCGGACTGACCCAGACTGACCCGACCACCTGCATCACATTTCAGCTCCAGTTTAACTGAGACAAAGGCAGCCGACCCCCCCCCCCCACCCCCCGAAACACAGAGTGGAGCAGAGTCTCGGCGTCAGACAGGGGTGTGGTTTCCCTCTGACTAAATGATTGGCAACGTGGGGATAAGTCACATGACAACAGAGAGATGCATACTTGAATCGAACGTAGAAAAAGCTCTTCAGCACTTCTTTGTAATGCAGCAAGCTTTGTGCTTTAATCTCAGGCTTTGTTGTAAAACATCCACAACAAAGCCTCTGTTTACGGACAGAAACAGTTCCTGCTTTTCTTTGATCTCCTGCCCGCATCTGGGGATGTCCAGTTCTCTGGATCTGTGGGTGAAACGATTTGATCTTTGAGCGGTGAACGAACGAGTCCCTGCTGAGTTTGGATCCGACTCGGGCTTTTGGCAGTTCAGAATTCAACAGAAACGTTGGAAACAAAAACAAAGAAAAAGAGGATTCTCTTTGTGTTTGACGCCGGTCCAGCAGGTTCAGGAACAGAAAGCACTTGTTCTGAAAAAACTAGGAAGACCTGAATATCTTTTCTCATAAAAAAAACCAACACAGCCCAGATAGTTTGTGTGAGTTGACTTTTGCAATATTGCAGTTTCACATTTAGTGCTCACAGTTGACACACGAATGAAAATCTCAATCACTACACTTGACCGACACCACTGAACACGTCTGTTAGGCTACCGCACCCGTCCCGCCTCGTCCCCGGAGCCCACGGGACCGACGCTCCGTCGGCGCGCCCCCCCCGGCCCGAGCTCTGGGACAGAGTTTAAACACAGAGGAGTCAGAAGCTTTGAATCCGTCCCCACAGACAGAAAGAGTTCCACTTAGACCGTTTCCTGTTTTTATATCTGTGAGCTGTTGGAGACAGAAAATACGTGTTTCTTACCCAGACTTTGTAAAACCGTCTCACTAATGATTTATAATCAACAGGAGAAGTTTAACCGTTTGAGTCTCAGCTCAGACAGATCCCACGGATCAGTTCTGTTGGACCTTTACAGCGGTGATATGTTTGGACTGGCTCAGGATGGGGGGGCGGGGATCAGAACGTCGTTCCCACGGGGGGACGAGGACACCGACAGGTTGTCTTTTCTTACACAAACTATTACAACACTGCTTCTTGGACCAGCGACCCCTGAAAGATGTCTGCTTTCGTGTTCTCGGGCGTCTTCGGACCCTCCCCACTACAGAACACGGGGGGCCACTGTAACAGGCACACACCGGTGTGATGATGAGTTAAATCTCCCTTTGAGCGTCCCACCATGACGTCTATCACTAATTGGCATGATGACACGGGTGCGACGGCGTCCTGGACAGGCGCACCCGGAGTCACGTGACCTGGGCTGTACATCTACCATTGACACAGTCTGACAATACGATGCAAACAAACAACATTTATACAGATTGGCAACTTCAGGGCACCCTCAGGTGCAAGCAGAGTCTTTTTTTAATATATATGTTGGAGTTCCTGCAGCCGAGGAGGCCGAGCGTTACTTTTTCTCGCCCAAACTGCTGAGGAGAGCTGGCAAACGATGCTGGGAGGGTTCTGAGGTTTTACTGTTGTTGCTGCTGTCGTTAATCTCCTCCACGCTCGTCTCCGCCGGGCTGAGGGCAGCCATCTTGTTCTCAGAGTTGGTGGTGGGGTTGGTGGCGCAGCCCCCCGTGGGGCTGTCCTGGGGCTCGCTCGTCCCGTTGGTGGCGGCGGCGGGGACGACGTCGGCCGGCGGAGCCGCCTCAGTCTCAGGCTCCGGCTCCACGTGGAGACCTGTTTCTGTGTGACCCTCGAGCCCAGGCTCCACCTTCCCCCCTGGCCCGCCCCCTGCCCCGCCCCCAGGACAGTTAGTCTGGACGGAGCTGTTGGACGGACAGCCAGCGCCTCCTCCTGTCTCCTCCTGTTTGCTGCTGGCTGACAAGCCTCCTCCTGCATTCTGCTCCACACAGTTGGACTCAGGTGCAGCTTCAGAGCCCACCTGAGGGGCCACCTGAGGGGCCACCTGAGGGGACACCTGAGGACCCACCTGAGGACCCACCGGAGGGTTCACCGGAGGACCCACCAGAGGACCCAGCTGGGGACAGTCCTGGACCCGGATGTCCTTCCTCTCCATCTCTGCCAGCGCCTGGTTGAAGTTGAAGGCTTGAATGAGGCGAATCAGGTGTTTGACTTTGTCCAGAGACACCTGCATGTCCTTCTGACGAGCCAGGATGGTGTTTTTGGTCTCCATGCATTTCTGATCAAACAATAACAAATAAAGTTTACTTTAATGATGAGAACATTTAGATTCTCCAGGTAGAGGTTTGTTTACTTCCTGCCCCCCCGTCTGTCTGCAGGTAGAGGTTTGTTTACTTCCTGCCCCCCCGTCTGTCTCCAGGTAGAGGTTTGTTTACTTCCTGCCCCCCCGTCTGTCTCCAGGTAGAGGTTTGTTTACTTCCTGCCCCCCCCCCCCCCGTCTGTCTGCAGGTAGAGGTTTGTTTACTTCCTGCTCCCCGTCTGTCTCCAGGTAGAGGTTTGTTTACTTCCTGCCCCCCTCCCCCCCATCTGTCTCCAGGTAGAGGTTTGTTTACTTCCTGTCCCCCGTCTGTCTGCAGGTAGAGGTTTGTTTACTTCCTGTCCCCCGTCTGTCTGCAGGTAGAGGTTTGTTTACTTCCTGCCCCCCGTCTGTCTGCAGGTAGAGGTTTGTTTACTTCCTGTCCCCCGTCTGTCTGCAGGTAGAGGTTTGTTTACTTCCTGTCCCCCGTCTGTCTGCAGGTAGAGGTCTAAAGACCACCTGTGTGTGCTGAAGTGTGGGGAGGACTCTCAGCTACTACCACTCACCGTTATGGAGTTACTGAGCTGTTTGACTCTCTGCTCCAGCTGCTCGCGCTCCACCTTCAGCTCTGAACTCCACTTCATCAGCTTCTGCTTCTCCTCCTCTTTAGCTGGAAGACACAGACGGGTCAGAACCCGTCCCGTCCCGCGGGACACGCTGGACGCAGAGGACACTCACCTTCTTTGTAGGCGATGTAGGAGTGGACGATGGCCAGCGTGCCGGGCCAGGGGATGGCCTCTTCTTTCTTCAGGATCTGAAGAGAGAAGCTCAGAGGTGTCACACAGACTCAAAGGTCCAGTTTTAGCCTCCACGCTGCCGTGGGACTGATCAGGGACAGGAAATGGAGTGGATGGGTGTGAGATGTTAATCCTAACTGACACAATGGATGAGACATAAGCACAAAAACATTTCTGAATCATGTGTCTGCTTACAAAGACTGAACAGTCGTACAGCTGCAGCATCTACACCTAAACACAGCTAGAACTTGCCCCTGACTCTGGACCAGCCCCAGCTGCTGCCGTTACCTGATCTTGACATTTTGGACAGATCCACATGCCTTTAGGAATGGTTTTCAGGGGGGGGTCCAGGCAGTCCAGGTGATAAACACGAGAACACGTGTCGCACATGAGCAACTGGCCACTGCGCCTGCACACTGTGCAGAAATCCTCGTGGATGTCTCCCTGCGAGGAAGAATTGGACCAAATCAGTTTCCCCGCCCACCCGAGCCCCGCCCACCCCGCGTGAGGTGGGCACAGGCG